CAACTTAAAGGTGTGCATTACCGCCACCTACTGGTGTGGAGTGTGGATCAGAATGTAACTTATGTAACCTCCCCCCCAAAAGAGAAAATCTTATATCCTGTCAGTTTAGTTTTCTTAACCTGTTGGTCTCAGGTTGTCATTCACAATGACAGGGGTGTCAAACTCCAGTCCTCTGCTGTCCTGCAGTGTTTAGATGTGCCACAGGTAAAAAAAAACAGTGGAATGAAATGGCTTAATTACCTCCTCCCTGTGTAGATCGGTTCTCCTGAGCCTTGCTAATGACCTAATTATTCTTTTCAGGTGTGGTGCAGCAGAGGCACATCTAAAAGTTGCAGGACAGCGGCCCTTGAGGACTGGAGTTTGACACCCCTGTCACGAGAGGACCCAGATTTGGGTCCTCTCGTGACAGACAGGTTAAGATAGTTTATTAAATAACATAAATGTTCAGAAGTAGAAGAATACCCCAAAACATCTTAACTGTAACTTATTCTTTAGAAGTCGACATTCTAACTTCCGCCTGGCAGCATTTTCAGACATCTCAGACTGTTGAAAAGCGGTGCAGCCATATTGATTGGAGTTCCTTCCCCGCCCCCTCGTTAGTCACACCTGCACACAATATAAATTAATTCCACAGTCTGCATCCAAGTTCTGCAGGAGTTTCCTAATCACATGTTTATTTACATCAGGTGTGCTCAATCTCTCTATTAGGTAAAAAGAAAACAAAACAAAAAAAACCCAGCAGCTGATCGAATGTAAAATATTCCTCTGAATGGTTGTAAATAACCCGTTTGTGGATGTTGTGTTCCACACCAATGCGCTCCATTTCACGTTGTGGAATGGGTCTGGCCCATAAAACTGATCCCACGTATTTGTTTTAAAACCAACCGAATTGTAATAAATCGGCTTTAATACCAGAATATTCCTGCGGCATTTGGCGAGGAGTTTGAAATGTGACTTTTTGATTTACATTTATTAGGCTCTGAGCAAATAACAACTAAAAACTGCACATTTTCCTCCCGAATCGCACACGCACTTTGCAAATGGTCTCTTTATAATGACTCCTTTGTTTCTCTTTGCCATCACAAGTAACCAGTGTTTTTATGGTGAGCTTGCACACTGTGATTGTCAACTTTGGCACAACCTTCCCTTTTATTACAGGATGCGATTTAAAGTTGGCCGGGAGGAAAGCGTGGCGTCTTTCATTTCCCTTTCTGCTCGGCGGGAGACAGTCGCCATGGACTCATGAATGCCTGCAGTTCCCCACACCAGCCTTTGTGCGGATGGACGTTATTGTCCACCCGTAGATTGTTTCTAGGCACATTTCGTCCAGTAATTTACTTTGACTAATTTGAGGTGATTTCATTCATTAGGACTTAAGCGGCGCAGCAACTGTCAGAGCGGCCTCACCTGAAACAGAAAAAAAAAGGAAATCTAGAAAATGTACAAGTTGGTGTGCGGCCCAGTGTGACTTAAAGAAACGGATGTAAGCAGCGCTTCAGAACAGAAATTATCATATGAATAAGAATCGCCACACTGACTCACTCTGATTGGTCCAAACAAGGTCATTTCCCACAGTGCTGCTGGCCCCGGGGCCATTGTCAGCCTGTCAGAGGCATGCCTGGTGCCTCCTCTCCGCATTCTTCCGTGCGCGCTCCGGTCTGCGTGTCACAGCCGAGCCGCTCCATTCAGAGACGGGAATGACCGATCCGCTCCATCTCTCTGCTGGCGAATCACTTACAGACTTGTGTCCGTGGTACCTTCGTGGTTCCGCCTTAGCAGGAACGGACGAACTCTCGACTTGCAAAGCCAAGGTGTGTTCGGTGGCATGCCAACCCGTACGACCAGGAAGCACATGCAGGAGGAACAAATTAAGGCCGTAGAGGTATTACTCGCAAATCCAACCACATCAAGGCGTCCTGTGCGCTGACTCTCAAAGTGAAACATAATTTCAGTTCATTATGGTGAAGCGGAGTTAGCTGACCACAAATGACATGCAATGTCTATCCTGGTATGTGAGAACATGATGAGATTTGTTCTTCTTAGTGAGTTTCTGCTGGTTGCACCTCAAGTCAGGTGGTTTTAAATCAACACCACAAAGTTCTTTGTGAACTATTGATAAAAACTGATTGATGCTGCATTAGACATCCTGTCTCTTCCACTGGAAGTGTTTTTTTTTTTTTCCTGTAGTTGTGCTACTGTACAGATTTTTTTGTTTGTTTTTTGTGGCAAATCCACAGCAATTTCTAGCTGTGGATTTGCTACAGCTAGAAATTTTGTTTCACAAAGCGAAACAAAATCGAGGTCATGGTGAGGTTTGATATAGATTGCTTCCACGTTTACATTTTGTGCAACCCTTCACTGTTGCTTCTGGATACACACAATCTGAAATCCTTAAATTCATGTCATGATGAGCGTCTTTCTCCTTTGTCTGAGCAGCTGTGGCCGTCTACAGTGTGAGATAGCAATACCTGAAAAGTTAAACTGTCAAATAATCCCGTCTGTAGCGTGGAAGTGGCGATCTGTAACATCCTTCTAAGGCCAACAAGTAGAAAAAAATCTCCAAGTTTTATCTTTAAAACAAAGTCCACAATGTGTCACAGTCAAACCATCTTAATACAGTAACGAAAACCTCCTTTTCATCTTCACAGACGGAAGAAGTGTTTGAGTTGGACAGCGAGTTTTATCAAATTTGTGCCGTAATCCCTCTTGGCGACAGAGATAAGGATGAGGGATGGAGGACCTGAACTCTTCTGCTTGAATATGGGTGTGAAGATTTACAAATCAAAAGAGCCAAAAGGTTCACTTCCACATCCGCGTTGCAACAGTGGCAAAGTAGCATAATAACAGTGGCTGTAATCTTGAAGGAAGTTCATCAGCAGCAGTTCACACAGACAAACATCTGATATCATCTAGAGACTGACTGAGAATCTCAGTAAAGAGTACCATGCAGTGCAGCCTGTCAGTAGGAGGTTTGTGAATTCATTGAATTTACTACATTCGTCACTTTTCCGTTGTCAAAAATCTAACCTCATCATGTCCAGCTTTCATTGTTCCTACTTAAGCGACAACAACAGGGTTGGCAGCTGAAATGTGGGATGAATGCTTAAGATAAACTTGATTTGACCTTAAAAACATCAGAACTCGGTTCATTTAAGTGCTTGGCCACACTAATGGCTTCCAGACAGAATGATGAATGAAGTTTGGTTCACTGGCGGTCAAAAAAAAAAAAAAAAAAACACCACTTACTCTGATTAGATAACACTTATAGGGCAATGCACATGAAGTCCACATTTTATATTTACTCTTTAAGTTTCCCATCAATGACAGGCGAGTCATCTAGCTGTTCAGTATCAGTTAATAATCTTCTAAAATCTAACCAGCAGTTAGATTTTTATATATATATTATTTTTTTTTGGATAGATCTGATTTGACACCTGACAGAAAACTCACCAACACACACCAACATCTGGCGTTTTGCTTTCAGTGGGAATTCACTCCCACATCCACGCAGCGTCGATGCTAAACGCGACACATCCTCTCCATGTGTACTGCTTAGGTAATCCTAGGCTTTATTTTCCAGAAAGCTCCGCTCAGCACCACTACGATGAAACTTAAGGAGTCTTTAAGCTTAAACAAAACCGATGCACTTTGTTGGTGGAAAAGTGGAAATTTGAATCATGTTTATTTATAAGAACGAGGAATCTGGAGGCATTTTGTGCGCTCATTCCTCTGGCAGTGGGAGTGTTTATGTGGTACTTGTTTAAAAAATGTGAGAAATGTCAAACGCTTTCAAAGTCATTCTTATCTCACAAAATAAACAGTAAAACAGACTTTAATCTGTACTTCCAAATATGTGCTCTCTGCTATTCTAGGAGTTGTTGTGATTAAGTGTGATATTTTAAATACACAGGACATGTTAAACTGGTTTGGGCATTAAAATCTCTGGAAGCTCGCTGTTAGCGAATAACAGCTAGCATGGGGAAATCATGAAATCATCATAGCCACCATTAGACGCTATCCCACATGCCACCAGCTGGTTTGGGAACCATGAAAGGTAGGTACCATTTTCTGTCCAAACAATTGCAAACAAACATTTGTAGTTTCGTAAGCACTACTGGCAAAGTTAGTAATACTGCATCTAAATGGAAAAACTTGTGTAGATCTTTATTCATGTCCCAACGGGCTGTTAATGTTTACAGCAAGTCGCAATAAAAGCAGCAAAAATAACAACGGCTAATATTCAGTTGGAGGGCGTGGCGCTCCAACAAACGGAGGATAGAAACACAAAACTTTTTGATTAAAAAAAAAAAAAAAAGGTCCTGGTATGACTAAGAAGGTAAATAATAAATAAACCAATAAATATGTAATACTGGGGGAAAAAAACACACCATTTAACTCTGTGGTTTAAAAACATGAACCGATTCAACTGTTGGATTATAAAACTAACAACTCTTCCCCGTGACTTCATTCAGGAGTTTCCGTAAGCGTTCAGCACTGACTGGCCTTATCTATAGAGCCATCTGAAAAATAAACCTTTCAAACAGAGTCTTCCACTTCCCACATGTAGTTCACAAATGAAGCAACCTAAACTTCAGTTCGTCAAGAAAGGCTGACCGTGATTTAACGTGCTGAAGGGAGGAGGCATTGATTCCAGTTCATTCAGCCGGACAAAGTGTGGCTGAATGAACTGGACTCCGTGCCACTGAAGTTGCACTCTTTCTCCGGGGTCGTCCATTTAAAGGGTGCATGTGAATGAATTAGATGTCCTGAGTTTGTGTGCAGCCCTGTCTGCAGAGCTCCTCATGGCCTATCATTACCAGATGTCACTCTAAGGGTGGCTGCTTAAAATCCTAAACTCCAGCTCTCTGCCTCTTTTTCTTCCACTCCTGCCTTCCTTCCTACTTTCTTTCCTCTCTCTCCCCGTCTCCTTCCCACTCCCACAGCCCTTCTTTTTTTTTTTTTTTTTCCCCTATTCTCTCCTCTCCACTTCCAGCTGTTTTTGGCTCCGAACAGCAGGAGCGGAGGGGAAGTTCTCCACCAATTGTCTGGGTCCTGAGAGGAGCTTGTTGGTCGGATCCCACCCTCCTTCTGTCTCTCTCCTCTCCCCTCCTGTCCCGCTCGCTCTCTTCTCCCTCCTCGCCGCTCGTCTCTCCTCCCCCTGTTGTGAGAGAGCACACCTGCTTGATTTTGGCTGCACGCTCTCCGATTCAAACAACTCCACAGGCCCCGTCAGCCACTTCGTACTCTCATCCGCCCACTTGACAGGATTTTGGAAGTCAAGCTCATCTCGCCGGCTCCTACTCTTCTTGCCTGGCTTCCACTGAGAACAGGTAGGTTTTACTCTGTCTGTGGCTGGGAAAAATCTGCCTTTGATAAGATGACATCTTTAGGTTTTTTTTTTTTTTCTTTCAATGCAGTAGGTCATTCTCTCGAGATAGTTTGCGGGTGTTTTGTGAAAGGTCTCGAGATAAAGTGAGTTTGTTCATCTTTTACAAGCATTACATCGTTCCGTCCTCCCCTTTCGTCCGCTCTCGTGCTGTAATATTCCAGATATGTTGCCAAGTCCTGTTCTCACAGCACTCATGATTATGTGAGGGGACTCCTTAATCAGTTCAATCTGCATACAGGACAAAAAAGAGTCAAGAAAAGAGAAGTGGCTGCAGAATAAGGGGGTGTGGTACCCAACTTCGAATTCTTAAAGTATACACAGTTGAGGCCCGTATGATGTTTGGGGTTTTACAGAGTGAGCTTGTTGCTCTCTTTTGGAAAGTATTGGTTTTAAACTTGATTGATTCCAGGTTAACATCTGAGACGAAATATTGCTGGATCATCTTTTCCATTGGGGAATCATAAAGACGAATGCAGGGAAGGAGGGGAACAAAAAAAAAAAAACATCTGATTATTTTATACCATAACTGATCAAGGTTTTATACGGGAAGAAAAAAAAAAGAGTTTCCCCTCATTAGCCAATCTCTTATCTTTCTGCTAAGCAGTGCCTGTTTCTTCTCAGCAGGAACCTAAAAAAAAATTGCCCTGAAGGGTTGGGGTGTGGGGGCAACTTAAAAGTAAAACGCTTAAAAGAGGAAATGAAGAAAGGCTTTTTCTTTTCTTTTCTTTTCTTTTTTTTTTACCTGGCAACACACAAAGTGCCATTAATCCTGTAATGGTACAGCTTCTTCCATCAAAGAGACATCTGAAGGCTTCCCGGCAAGCCTCTGCACAACTCTCTGCTAACTCATTACATCTTTTCTCTGCGCAGAAAAGGGAAGAAACGAATGTGGTTGAGCTGTAGTGAATAAAGTGAAACTGAGAGGCAAACTGGAATCAAAAATGGCACTGTGAGTTAAATAAAAGCTACAGAAAGAAAGGGGAAAAAAAGGCAGGCACAAAGTACGAGAATGAACTCAAAGCAATGAGCAAATGGAAGTGCTGGATGAGGCAAGGCCCAGATTCTTGCACACACAGGCAGCATTTTTTTCCATCTGGACTTTATTTTTCCAGGTCAAGCAGAGCAAGAGAACAATTGGGATCAAATGGACAGTCGCCAGGAACTCTCTTTCTCCCTGCCCCAGTTTGCTCATTGGAACGGCAGAAAGTTCCACGTTTGAGCCTCTCTCCATGACCGGAGGGGTCAGGAAGGAAAAAGGGAAAACTTAAAAAGGGAGTAGCAGCGAGCACAGAATGGGAGGAAGAGATGCAAAGGGGAAGAAAAGGGAGGGAAGGCTGTTCCACGTCTGTGCGGAGCAGACTGATAATGAGGTTGAGGTATGATGGTCGGGTGACGGTTTTTCACACAAAACCCATAATGATCTTCCAGCTGAGGGAATCGCAGTGACTGCGAGGTTCACTGGCCGGGTGTTTTTGGGCCGAGAACATTGAAAGCAGCCATTAAAGATCCGCCTGATTTCCTGACATCCCAAGAAGCTTCTGGGAATGTTTGTTGGTCATCTCTATGCACATTTTCATAGGAAACTGCTATAAAAATGTGCAGGATTACGAACTGCTGTCATCGTTGAGACAATGGTTAAACTGGGTTGTCCGTACCTGAATTAAAGTCTGTCTACATGAATGATTTCCGCAGGGATTCACTTCATCTCTTCACACGGCTTCACAAAGCATTTTGAGAGTCACTCGGCTGTGAATTGGTTAAGCTGAGCTGGACAGAGCAGAAAATCCTCAAACGTTGGAGGAACATTTCAACACCGCTGACCTCTCACTCCTCAGACGACAGTGGAAATGATGTGTTTGGGCAACCACGTGGGAGGGGAACTCGCATTCATTTGCTGACAGACTTAAAGAGCCTCACGTTTTAAACGTCCTGTGGCCTAGTAAATACCTTACAGTGATAAATTGCCGACAGCCGCTCTGCAGACGCAAACCCAGGCCTTGGGGGAGTTGGAGGAAAGATGGAGGTGATGCACAAAGTTTAGGTATGTTTTGTGTGGGTTTTTTTTTTTTTTACTATCACTGTTAGATGTTTATGTTCACTCACTCTGCTTTTCTTAGTCTGAACATATCAAGTAAAGGCTCCAACAACATAGGAGAGAAAGTAGCACAGAAATAAAGGGTAATTACTTTCCTCTCTCATGCAAAGGTCTCCGTGCTTCCTATCTGGGAATCATTAGTAATGCTAGAGGGAAGAGTCAGGAGAGTGCGGAGGGAGGGAAAGCTGGGAGACACAAGAAAAATGAGAAGTAGAAGGGAGAGCAGACAAGGTGGCTGCCATCAGAGGAAATGTCACCCTCCACCCCTATTTCCTGACAGGTCATAAAACGAATGAATGATACGTTGCAGCCGACAGAGAGAGAGAGAGAATAGCAATTTGTTTATAACTGTGAAATGTTATTTGGACCAAGATAGTTTTACAGCTAGTTGTGTTATTCACCAATTTGTCCTCTGTTTACAAGCTTGATGAGCATTTAATGGTCTTTTGTCACTTTCGAAATAATCAACTGATTGGATGGCGTTCAGAGGCAATGGAGGAACATTTCCAGTAAATGAAAGAACCACTCCCAACATAGAACTGATCCTCCAAACCCGATTTTCTGGGGGGTTTTTGGGGTTTTTTTTTTTTTGGAGACGTATGATTCTTCCTTGGTTTGAAAGGCTTCTGGGGGGTTTTCATGCAGGAGAACAAAAAAAAAAATGATAAAACCCTGACTGAGCTGTTATGACCCATATCATATCCATACCATATCATTTGCTGAACCAACTCAACATGATGCTTTGGTGTGATATACCCACAAACAATGGCAACGGTTAAAAAACTTGGAATTCAGTTTGTAACTCACTTATGAAGGATGTTTATTTTTGACAGCAGCAGGTATTTTGTCATAATGACAGTCGACATGAAGCTCCAACATGGATTAGCTAGACTGAAAACTCTAATACTGTCTTGGCAATATGGATTTTTCATTTGTCAACATATATTTGACTCACATTTTGGTCCTGTTGAGTGTGTTTTCATTGGCTGCAACATCTGGCACTGGCATGGTGCCATATTTCAGTGCCACTCCATTTGGTAATGTGCAAACAAAACCTCCAGGAAAACCTTTTTCTTCATCTTGAACATCATAAAAGTTGAAGAAGATCGTTTCAGATAACCCCTGCTCAGCTTTCACTGGACACTGACAGAAAACACAGCCTCTCTTTCAGTTTGAACCACATGGTCTGCAGTGAAAAACGTCTAATCTGTTGGAAGAACTCTATATTCAACAAATAGATCAAATAAAATGACTACTATATGGTTTTAGTAGCTGTAAGTAGGACTATAGGCCACACTCTTTTTATGGTAGCTGTTACATTTGCAGCTCTCAAACATAAAATATCTCAGTGCACCACACACAGGTATTTGGACATCCTTAAAAAAGAAAATCTCCGAATGGGTGAATATACTGTGAAAAAGTGATTTGGAACAACTTTAAAAAATATATATTAAAAAGCAGAAGAATCTAGTCAAACTAGTGACTAGTCAAACTAGTCACTAGTCTAGAGCCAGTTGCAGATGAGCAACACCTGGCACTCTTTAAATTAGAGGAAAATGGTCATTTTTCTTTTACGGTTTTCCCCCATTAGTGGTGAGTGGATGTTTAGATGCCATCTCCTTCTTAAAAATGACACACAGACAGGGAAAAATAAAAACTAAAATTGTACTTTAAGTCTGCATGCACAGCTGTATTTTTTATATCAGAAACTCTTAGAGAGGTTTTCTGAGGTGTGAAAACTTGAAGAACCGCTGCTCCAGCATTTTGTTTCGACATTGCTTGAGTCTGAGCACACTAGTCCACCCTTTGCCAGGATTTTATGTGTCTGTGTGCATAAACAGGGAGGAAAGAGGAAAGTTTTGGCCATCTTCCCAGTTCAGTGGACGTGTGTGACTCGAATGGTAATGAAGAAACTCTTGCCTGGGCTACAGCAGGTCATCTCAAGCATTGTCTCCATACATTCATCCCAACTTAATCCAGCTGGGAAAGCTCGGAAAGCCATGGATTTAAGCTATGTTTGGAATCTTAATCTTTTGAATGGACTTTTTTTTTCCTCATGAAATCGAGGTTTTATTTTCTAAACTTGTGCATCATCAATCCGTTTGTTGTTTTCCACCGATTCAGGACTGGGTCGTAGATGTAACGCGTCAACCTCTCTCCGTAGTGATATTCCACGGTCCATTCTGGATTTTTCCAGGGAATTTCTGGGCCACAAGGGATATAAAGTCCTTATGTGTTCTGGGTCTGCTCCTGGACTTCCTCCAAGTGGACTTTGGAAAACTCTCAAAGCGAGGTGCCCAAAAAGCTTCTTGATCAGATGCCTGAACTGCCTCATTTAAAGCCCAACAATGTGGAAGTACAGTTCCTCGACCCTGACCCGGATGACTTTGCTCCCGGTTCTACCTCATGATCCAAGTGTTGCATTTTGGCTCATATCTTTCATTCTGAAAAGATGGGAAATTGCACCAAACAGCTTTATCAGAGAAATCCTTAGGACCCGACCTTTTTGAAGCTGAGATTCCACATTGTGGTTAGACTTTTCAAAAACAATCTTTAAAAAAAAGAAAACAAATAAACAACAACAGAAAAAGACATTTTCTTGCCTATTTGCAGAATTGTTTGCAGAAAATCTTTGACAGCTTGATGACAAGACAGATGGAAGAACATTTGAAATGCAGCACCAATAAACATGTTTGTATGCATCCGTTTATGTGGCCAACGGTCAAAGCAAGGAGCTATGGTCCATTAATACAGCAGTTAAATTCATGTTACTCTCAGAGCACTGGTGCTTTTATCAAGTAGAATTGGAACAGAGCGTCTCTCCTCACACAACAGCCCAGATGTTAGTATTTTATGATTTTAATAGATGACGAGACTGACATGGCTGCTTCAGTCAGCACAGTTTTATGCAACACTGAAAGTCCAATCAGTTTAACAAAACTGGTAGAAACGAGGCTTATTTCTGCACAAGATTTGTGCCTGGTACCAATCAGGCAACTCAGATAAAATATCCAGTAAAAGAATCTACGAGCGCCGTTTGACCTGGGGATGCAATAAACATCTCGAGATCGCGATCCACTGCTCCCAAGTCTCCTGACAAAGTTTTGGTTGGACTGAACCGTCAGCTTTTTCAAACGCTTGAAACGCGAACATCGCCAAGCTTAGTCAGCCTGTCAGACATTTGAATTAATCCTCCTCCTGGATCTGGTTTGTGCTCAGACTGGAGCCGGAGGATGCGACGTTTCCAACTGCTTGGAAAACTTTCCCCCGAAGCAAAAAACACCGAACACACATAATTCCAGATTCAGACCGAACGTGTAAAAGACGTCTCAACACATCACGCGCACAGAGCGGGAGACAAAACACTCGGATGGATGAGATTTCAATCCTCAACGTACTGGAGCCGCGCAGTTTGATAAAGTACTGGCTTTTGTGGACAGAGACTATAATTACGACTGGGTCAGAGCGTCGCTCTCAGCTCTCATTCCTTGACCTGACGTAACCCTAACCTGCACTTACGATGGTCAGCTATTTCCATCTCACACAGACATCAAACACTGTGACTTAAACTGTGAAGAGTTTAAGTCACACCTCTTGTTGGTTTCTGTCGCTCCGCTGAACATTTTTCTCTCCGTTTGACCTCAACTGTTACATATGAAAAGTCCACGTTGCCAGAAGTACTGGGACGCCTGCCGTTAAACGCTTTTGAATTTTATCGCTTCTTCTTGCCGCTTGGGCTCTTGTGTACAGTTGGCACACTGTTTGTAGATAAAGCCCTTAAAGCCAAGCACATTTGGCCTTTGCACGTCGGAAAACCCTCCGATGCGGTTGAATTTAAACAATTGTGGGCCAGAATTCCTCCACAGTGATGTAAGAAAACTCATTAACAGGTATAATAAACTCTTAATGGGAGCCACTGCTGCCAAGAGTGGTACAGGTAATGATTAGGCACATTTACGGCTTTATCGAACAGAGCCAGTTGTGTAGCTTGTTCCTTGGATAAATTAAATCATTTGAAAACTAATTTTTTGTTTTGCTCAGGTTAAGTTTATGTTACGAAAATTTGCCCTACTGCGTTTTAATGTGGCACAAAGCAAAAAACAGAAGGAGGAAGACACGTTTTCACAGCAAAGTGTATTATACTTAGGCTATGTTGCAAAATGATAAAAAAAATAAACATAAGATTTATCAAGATAGGACACAGTCGAAAGATTAAAAAAAAAATTAAAGGCACAGCCCGCCATCTTTACGGATCATTTAAACGGGCTGAGAGTTGCTTTTAGGCCGGGGCCAAATGCTGGTCTTGGGCAGGTTTTCCCGTCCCGATCATGATGTTTGGGTCAAGGTCCGCTGGAGCTGCGGCTTAAACCAGCCCTTCAATTATTGTGGCACCGAGTTGGATGGAACGGCTTTTGGCTTCTTACCAGCATTTTCTTTTCCTTTTTTTTTTTTTTTTTTAAAAATGCGATTCTCTGCTGTGTACAAAAAACCAAATAAGAGAGGGAGAATCGACTGTAAGTGGGTGTGTGTGTGTCTGTGGAAAAAGGTCGGGAAGTTTGTGCGGATGTCTGGCGTGTGTCTCGATTTCGAGACGACGTCCGCCTGTGTCATCTAAGTCGTGTTGAAACCTAGAAATAGACGAGGAAGCGTGACGCTCCCACTGATCTCTGCTTCCACAGTAGATAGAAACTCCCTGATGCTGTTGACACACACTACTAATATAAAACGCTTGGCAGACGATCAATCTCTGTGATTTATTACGTTCAAGCAGGAGAAGACGTGGAACAGTGGTCTGCAGTTGCAGCTATGCAATTTCCTGCAACGCAACCCCTGTGTATTTCTGTAAAAGTTAATGCAGATGTGGCAGTAGCCAGTGGCGCACTTATCAACTTCAGGAGGAGACTGGTTAGTTATAAATGTACAAAAAGTGAGCAAAGAAAACGGAAAATTTATAGATTTGGGGATTTTTTTTATTCATTCATTTATTTATTTATCTTTAGTCAGATGAGTTCAGTCATTGTTTAACCACTTTTGGTGGTGTCAAAGTGTGATGCTTAGTCTAGAAAAAAGGAATAGATAAACAGTTTATGGAGGGAGAATGAAGGGAAATCCCTAGAGTGCATCATCAGTTAGGGATAACTACTTTTATGGATTTTTCCACTTCATAGGAAAATGTTAAACAGTCAGAAAAGCACTCAAACCATCAGAAAGCACCAAAGGTCAGCAATAATTAAGAGATAAATGGATCACTGACAGAAATTGCCAACTAAAACAGTCAAACTAAAAGTCGACAAATTATTTTCTTTGTTTAAAATATTGACCATTTTCCACTTAGAGGATTCCGCAAAACCGTTACATGTTGGAAGTCTTTCATTCACAGCTGCATGTATGTTATTTCTCCTTTCAGGTGCTTTGCTTTTTACAACCATATATTTACTTATTTAATAAAATAGGAGTCATGCTAGAGAGGCTGCCAAATACTAAATACTGCCAAATCTAAAGGTATGCCAGGGTTTTAGACACTTTTGTCATTGTATTCCTACTTTAACAATGCATTGCTGCCAATATCTCATCTGTTGCTGCACACTGCTGGAAAAGCTGGCTGAGAGAAGACTGCTACACTTTGCTCTCTCTTAAAATAAAGGCAAATTTGACTCTCTTTTTTTCGGAATCATTTCCAATTACAAAAAAAAAAAAAAAATCCCAAAACACAAAAAGTCATGGAGTGGACACCAAAAGAGCCCCAAACATCACTCAGTACACTAATACTGTTTTTAAGCCATGAACTTGTAAAGAAGCTGACTGCAGGCTAGCTAGCCAAGCAAACAATATATCACAACTAATTTCAAATTGTTGAGCAATAAAGAGCAGGATGACAACTGGAATTTTTGCAAGTTTTTCCACTGATATAAAGCAATAAAAGATGAATGTTACAGTTAACATAGTTATAAAACTAATTGTCAATGTTATTTTTTAGCATAACAATTGTTTTCTTTTATAAAATAATATTTTTTTAAGATTCTTTGCTGAATTACGCAAAGCCATAAAATGGTTTCTCAGTGTTTTTATCCAATGAGAATGTAATGCTGCCTAATGAAGAATTTTTCTCTTTTTTTACATAAAGTAACTGTAAAGTAAAATGGAAATATTCAGGAGCATTTACCTCAAAACGTAGCTTTTTTTTATTTTTTTATTTTTTTTGGTACATTGTTGAACGATGCATATGAACCCAAACACTGCCATTCGTACTGCCTCCAAATGCCTTTCATGCAATCAGGAGCAGCATCACAACCAGCACATTCCACCTGTTTTCATGCATCTATAATGCAATCAGCTTGGGTGTGAATAAATCCCAGATTCAAGTTCTGACTCTTGAGGCAAATCAAACGAAGCAAAACCTTTTGTCCTCCACCAAAAACTGAACATTTGTACATCAAAAGCTTAATTGCAATTATTATGTTTTTGGTTTTTTTTGTCTGAGTAAAGCAGAACCATTTGAAGACCAGATATTGTTTTGTCGCTAATCACTTCCTACGCGTCTTCTGCAGGCTCTCTGCGAGCAGCACCATGCGGACCGCCTGCCTCTCCCTGCTTCTGGTCACCGCCTGCTGGGCTCTGCCCTTCCGTCAAACCGGCTTCCTAGACTTCATGATGGAGGACGACGCCGGGTCAGGTGCTGATCCCATCAGGACCAAGCCCGCTGCCGACCCCGTAGGACCGAAGTGCCCATTCAGATGCCAGTGTCACCTGCGTGTGATCCAGTGCTCTGACCTTGGTAAAGCAGCAACACACGCCCACAGATCTAGACCGTCCTGACCGTCAAATGTAGAAATTTGTCTGAATTAATAACTTTGCCTAAGCTTTTTATTAAGTATTCTAATGCCTAAACATAAAACATAGCAAATGGAAACACCAATAAATGCCTGAGATACATTAAGAAGTAAAAACACCTCGTGAAGTTTTTTTTTTTCCTTTGGAATCGAACCAAAATCAAGCTTATAATCAAATAAGAGTTTCTGCCTCAGTATTTTTGCAGGGACACGTTTATGATGACCACAACAAAGTCGTGTAACGACTTTCAGTTGGCACAGTTTCTGCAGCGCAAACTTGTAATTTCAAAGCGTCGCCGTCAAAACAGCTCAGCTTAATTCATGTAATCCAACGAAATTAACATTCACTAAGCACTCCTCCAGCGTCATTATAGGAACTCATTTGTTAGATTATCAGCCCTACGTGTTGACGGATTACGCCACCTTTGGGATTCCAAGGTGGAAAAAAAAAAGAAGAAACGCAGTGAAGTCACATCAAGTGCCTCCACGTCCATTTTCTCTTTGCAGTCTTCCGTTTGATTCTTTGGCCCGGATTGCAGAGCACTGCGCCCGGTTTATGGTACCAGGCCCTGAGGTCAGACGGGCAGCTGCAGTAGTTTTACTGAAATCGAAGCTAGCTGAGTTACAGCGAAGCTTTAAAAGCAGCACACCCACCCGCCCAAACCCGGCTCGGTCATTCGAGGGGCGTATTGTGTTACACGTTACTGCAAAGTCCTCCAGAGAACATGAGGCCATGTGTTGATATGTTAATCGCTCACAGATGCTCAGAGTCTTGCTTCACTTCCTGTAACAAATGCATGATCTGCTCTTTCTGGGAAATTAGCTTTCTTAAACACTGAGGAAGATTAAAGCTTTCTCCCGACTTTGGAAAGTCCTGTGCAACCCCTAAAACAATCCAGGATGTGTTTCTCAGCGAAATGCTTACTTTACAATTACTTGGTCACCTCTTTTTACTTATGCGCAATCCAAACAGTTTTTTCAGTCATCGTGCTTGGCGTTTGGAGCTTATCTGCGATGTTTGCTTAATCTGATGTATGGAGTATGCAGCAGTTTGAGTCATCCCTGCAGACACTGTCTAAGGAATAGCACTTATTACATAAAAAGGGAAAGACAGGCAGTAGGATTAGATTTTTTTTTTTGTTGTTGTGATGTTTGGAAAGAGAGAGGCATGTTCTTGAAGAGAACAGATTGGGAGGAAGGGAGGCGGACCCGCTGGGGATTCTATGAGAATAAAATAAAACAGCAGCAGACAGACAGGAGACGTTCTAGATTCAGAGGACCAATCAGAGTGTAAATTAGAGGGCAACTTTATTTACTTCAGAAGAGTGTGAAATGTGTCAAATGTTAACGATGAAGACACTTTAAGTGAATAACGGTCATTTCCGTTTGCCTTTGTACCCCCAAAGATGTCGCCCTTTTTCTGCATCCTTCACTGCTGTCACCGAACCCCCATTTGCTTCCCAGACCTGCTGGCATACACGCACACACACACACACACGCACACACTCCACGGCTCAAACATGAGCAGGAATAAACATCAGTGTTCAAACTCATACAAGCCACACTGAGGGCTCCGCTCACCGTTTGCGATTAATTCTGGCGAAGAAACGATCAAAATCGAAAATGGAAACGTTCAAACTGTCGGCTGACCGCTGCCGAGAAGAAAGAGCTTCCAGAAATCGACAATATGAGGATGTTTCTGGTCTTTCAAGACATTTTCGATGCGGCCAAAACAAAAGCCAAACAACATTTCAACTTACCAAATTCTCATAGAAGCAAAACTGTCATTAAAATGAGATGCCTGCAAGTTGCAGGAAGGGAAACGATATTTGCCACTTACTTCACGCTTCTTTCAATCAAACATCAAATTTCAATACATTTTGCTGTTGAAATTTAGTTTTCTGTCCAAGCTGACCTGGTCCGGTGGGAGAAAGTAACCGCTTCCTAAATCAAAACCTGCTCTTCCTTCTGCAGCTCTTTTAGTGGAACCGAGCTGGACAGTTTTCACACCTCAACCTTTTAAGATGTCTTTTGTGGATGGCGTATTCTCCCACTTTCTGTTTTTATTGCTGTATAAATTTAACTAAGCAAGCTTTAGATGTTGTCCCGGTGTCTTTTGTGACTTTCTGGGTCAGTTGGAATAGTTTTGGTCAGTTAGCCACTCCTGGGCAGGTTCAACACGTTCCCGAGGTTTCAATAGCCGTCGCTGTTACCTGCATCCCAAAGTCTTAGAAATTACTTTCTAACCTTCCCTTTACTGATATATAAGTACTTGTTGCTATTTTTGTTATTTAGATTGAGTCATGATGTCTTACTTTTTGAGATTGTTCAGCTTTTTGTCATCAGGTTATTCTCTATTTAGGTGATTTTTTTTGGTTTAAATCATCATTTGTTGTAAAGAAAAACATTCAAAACTGAAAGTGTTTGATGATGATTAACCCATGTTGCCCAGTCACTGATCAATCTACTGGAAATTCAACCTTTGAGAAAAATGTGCTCGATATTCAGATTTTTGTTGTGCTTTCAGAGCGCATAGTTGGCGTATAGTTATATAATGTGTAGTATACACTATTTAATGTTATGTAATTGTTAATAAATACCTAGAAAGCATGTTTTCGTGTCTTATAAGTCAGCCAAAAATAATGTGCAGTATAGCGATCGATTTATTTCAGCGTATTTCTCAGGTTTCGTTGATGCTATGCAGAAGGATGAGCCAGTCTGACTTTTCTCAAAGTAAATGAGGCAGCGACCGCAAACAGCTGTGATGGTTTCTGGATCATTCACCGTGCAGTTGGAAAAGTTGACAGAGGGGGAAAAAAAAAAAAAAGCAACTTGCAAGAATTGATGTTTGTCTGCAGTCATCACAAGTTTTTGGGGCCAAAAGTTAGGCAGACCAGAAACTCAAGGAGAGACATTCTTTGTTAAACAGTTTATTAAATGTCTCTTGGTTTTAAATAAAAACCCTCCACTTTGAGTTGTTGTGTGTGCACCGAGACATATCTCCTGTCCACTTCGCCAGACTACAGGACTTTGAAAACAGATGGGATTTTCTGGAACCGAATGCCAAGTAAAACAGTTTTGTGACTTTGCTTTCCAGGTATGCAGCTGCTTATTTACTCCAAAGGAAATTTGTTTTAGGGTCGATTTCCACCATATGTGCCTCCGAGCACAAAAATAGTTATTTAGTCGCCCTGGAAAAGCCACCGTTTTGAAAACGTTAAGGACTATAAAGCAACATCCCGGGGATTTTTTTTATTTTTTTTCCTTTCATTGAGATAAATATTCATGTGAGAATAAACAGCAGTTGAAAGCAGTCAACCATCTCTTTAGAGTTTAAATATTTGTACAGCGCCGTTCGTACACAGGGCAATTAAAAGTTACACACAAGATTTTTTAAAAAAAAGTTTCAGAAACATCTCAGGTTTTCAGGGAGTTGGATCTGAAACTAAAACTTCCTCCTCAGGGAAAATCCCAAATGAGATTAATAAAGTTTTCTATAATTTTAAGGCGGTTTGGTTTTGGACTTTCTCACATTCTCCATAGGATTTTACCTCGATTAACTTTGATTTTTCTTTGGTAAAATCTGTTTAGCTTTATGCTAATCTAGCGCCGTCTGTTAGCGGACGTGGGCAGCACTTTACCTGTCGTCTCTCTTGTGAATTTCACCGTCAGGCCTGAAGGAAGTTCCTGCTGACATTCCTGACGATGCCACTTTGCTGGACCTGCAGAACAACAAGATCACCGAGATCAAAGAGAGCGACTTCAAGCACCTAAAAGGATTACACGTAAGTATCGTCAACATGTGTTTGTTCTTTTTCGTGTCTAAATAATTGGCGTTATTCCCAGTAGTATTAAGATTTTTTTAGGAGCTCTGCATGAGCAGGTATCAGCTTACAACAGGAGGAGATAGAGCGTTTTCTGAAAAGCAAGTAAAAACCCCGATTTTTTTTTTTTTTTTTCCCCAGGTGCAAATAAATGACTTATTCTGCGGTCTGGTGGTGTTACACTTTCTAACTCTTGCTCCTGCCATATTTATTGTAAATTCCTCAGTCTGAGAGCAGAAGCTGCTCCACTTAAGGATGTTTCTTTTCCATTAACCAGAAAGTCCCAGACACCTACACTACATCCTCTCTCTTTGCCAGGAGAAAAGCTGTAGGCATAACTCTTATGTCCAAAAAAAGAAATATCACTGAGTACAGTCTGGAATATTTTTAGAATTTTACGAGAACGTGTTGAAGAGTCTTTCAACGTAACCCCAGCGATATAATTTTCTTGTTTAATCCACTCTGGAGGCCAAACTTCTGTGGAAGTCCTGTGGTTTTATTCTCCACTTAATGCCCGTTTCTGATTTCACTGGTATTTTTTTTCCATGTAGGCTCTCATCCTGGTGAACAACAAGATCACCACCATCCACCCTAAAGCCTTCAGCCCTCTGACCAAGCTGCAGCGGCTCTACCTGTCCAAGAACATGCTGAAGGAGATGCCGGCCAACATGCCCAAGAGCCTGCAGGAGCTCCGCATCCACGAGAATGAGATCACCAAGATCAAAAAGGCCTCCTTCCAGGGCATGTCCCAGGTCATCGTGATGGGTATGAGACGGGAGGAGAAATATTTGAAATCCACCTAACTTGGAACAGACATCGAAGTATTGTTTGATTTTCTTGCAAATCTTCAACCATGTTGGAGTTTTCTGCGCTCCGGAATAGTCGAAAAATTCCTGGAAGAGGCAAACTTCCATAACCTCGTTATTTTTTTTGTATTTTTTTTTATTTTATTTTCAGAACTTGGGTCCAACCCTCTGAAGAGTGCAGGAGTTGAAGCCGGCGCCTTCGCTGACCTGAAGAGGGTCTCCTACATCCGAATTGCAGACACCAACATCACAGAGATTCCTAAAGGCAAGGACTCGTTTTCCGGAGAAGAATTAGAGTCGAATGCATTGAGGTTAACGATTGGATTGATGATTGCAGCTGCAAATGTTGTCTGTGGATCATCTTTTCTATCTTGCTTGTGATCAGATCTCAATTAGCCAGATTATATGCTGATAAACACTAAATCTGCAGGGACTGTTGCACTTTTCTTCTCATTTGAACAAAATTAACCTGTCAAGATATTTCTGGATGTGAAAAAGATGACTGACACAGAAGACTTGGTAGAAATAATTGTTCAGTTTGTTCAGTGAAAAAGTCATATTTTAACTCAGTTTTGAGAATGACGTGTTTTAAGCGAGTTTATTATTGTCTAGTAATAAGAGTAGGTTCTGATCTGAACCAGAAACCTGCATATTTTCATCATGAGCATTACAAGCTTTACCAGAAACTTTAAAATAAACTCAGTTCAGAAAAAGTCAAGCGGATTAAAAACTAGTTCATTTGTGTTGTTGTGAACTGATGACATCTGCAGTCAGGCACCGATGCTCTAAAAGGGCCCACAAGTCGAAGATTTTTGTTTTTTAAATGTAGAATAATCATTTTGAACTTGTGTCTAAAACCATCTGCTAACAACTGAATTCGTCTGTCATGCGTCAGTGGGCTGAGCCTGTCTTGCACGTCGGAACGACACATTTCATCTTTGCTTCGGTACTTAAAGTTTAATTCAGCTGAGAAGAGTTACAACGCCAGTCCTGAGCCGAGGAACACAAATATGTGCGGCTCAGCTTCTCTTTCAGCGCTTGGCGATGCGCTCGCAGTTGATTTATTCGCCGTAGCGTCACAAATTAACATAAAGTATTTTCCAAGAGTTTTGAATTAATTTCTTCTGCTGAAAACCGCAAAAATGACGAGCCAGTGGAAATTTAGCTGTTTACCCTCGGAAAAGAGTCTGCGAAAGGGGGGGATTCGATTTGGTAACCCGGAAAAAGACGCTTTGATGAGCGAGTTGAAATTATTTCGTGGTGTTCCTCAGCTCCGCCTTGATGGTAATCCTGTCTCATTTGGGTTTGCAGGTCTGCCTAGCTCTCTGTCTGAGCTTCACTTGGACGCAAACAAGATCACCAAGGTGACATCCAGCGCCCTGAAAGGCCTGAAGAATCTGGCCAAGTAATAAAAATGATACTTCTCTTCCCAGCCTTGCTGTAAACCAGCATTGATGCCAACAGTAAACATTTTCAGAAGCGTAAACGCTCGCAGCTTTGTTTGCCTCTAAACAAGCAAAGCTGAAAGATGATTGAAAGCAGCATGTGTAAAGTGAAAAACCTTTACGCTCGTTTCCCTGCAGTGGCTTTATCTTCCTTTATTGGCTAAAAAACTTTTACAGCATCGCTCCGTTGTTTCAAATCCTGGAGGTTTGTGCTCTTTCGCATTCGGTTCTTCCAGACGTGACTCATTCCTGCGCTTATTTTTCTTGCAGGCTCGGCCTGAGCTACAATGAGATCAGCACTGTGGAAAACGGCAGCCTGGCTAACGTGCCACATCTGAGAGAGCTGCACCTGGATAACAACGCTCTGACCAGCGTTCCTCCTGGCCTGCCTGACCATAAATACGTCCAGGTACACAATGGCTCCAGAGTCTCGAATGCCAGCATGTTACTAATCCAGGCGTCACCGCGCTCCGAGGAGTTTATTTGCACTCAAGAAACTATTAGATATTAGATTCTTTTTATATATATATATATATATATATATTTGGAAACTGAGCTGGTTTACTTGTCAGGTGCCTTCTGATACACAGCAGATGTCCAAGTTAATTTTCCGATAGATTTCTGGCCACACCGTGATGCAACAAACCACTATACTTCCAGCTGCATGATTCACATGGAGCCTCTGTTTTTATGAGGTTCTTTCCCACTAATGTTGTTTTTGGTTAATGCTAAACACGCCTTCTGTTCTGGTTTCCAAATGAGACGAACGAAGATTCATTTGGCCAGAGCTGCTTCTCCCAAAGTCCTGGTTTTTGCCTACGTGCTCTCTGGCAAACTTTACCCTGGATTTGCGTTTTTCTTACGGGCCCTGAAAGCGACATTCTCTGATTATCTAAGCATGCACTTTTATTAAAGCTGGAATTACTTTGATGGCATTTCATGATTTTTAGAGACGTGCGTTAGCGTCTTGCAGTCTGCATTCAGGGTGGACCTGCTTGGACGGCCAAACCTGGACATGGCCACAGAGTTCATGAACTTCTTCATAAGAAGACTTTGTTCTTTAAAGTCAAAGGGTTTATCGCTTTATATTCCTCACCAGACTTCAATAAGCTGTGATGTCAGCTTATCGAAAGCCTCCGCCAGCTCTTTTGAAATCGACGTGTTTACTCTTAACTCAACACACCAAAGTAAATGTCTGAGGCTTAAGCAGGGCAAAGCTCCAACCTACAAGGGGTGTTACATCACAGGGAGTTTGAAGAAGCACGAATAAATCCTCACAATTAAGACTAGCATAACTCAAAATGTTTACATCAGTAGGAGGAAATGCAATATTACCGGATAATTAATGACTATTCACACTTTGTTGTTTAGCTTGTTGCTTGTTGTTCTAGTGAAAATCCTAAATGTTTCTGATCAAAACTATCCAAGGCAGGAATATAGTAAATCTTTTCTCACTGCAGTGCATCGTATTTATGTTGAATGTGCCAATCGATGTGTGATTGATGCACCGCACCCAAGTGCAGAGTTTAATCCCACAGTTGATTTGGTAACACTTGGATCTTTATCTTAGATGCATAAATATATTTATGTAAATTTGGAGTTTTACTCATACTGACAGCCTAGTGATGCATGGGCAGCATATGTGAAGGATTCTGAATGTTTGACTTATCTGAGCAATTCATCGAGAGACATATCATCATTTTTATTTACCTTTTCTTCAGAAACCTAAATTACAGCTGTGCCCGTCTCATTTACTAACCACATGTTGTAATTATTTCAATCCCGTCTCCAGGTGGTCTACCTCCACGCCAACAAGATTGGCGCTGTGGGAACGGAGGACTTCTGCCCCCCTGGCTTCAACACCAAGAAGGCCATGTACTCGGGTATCAGCCTGTTCAGCAACCCGGTACCCTACTGGGAAGTCCAGCCAATCACCTTCCGCTGCGTCTTCGACCGCTCCGCCATTCAGCTCGGAAACTACAGGAAGAAGTAGAGCCGAGCTCCGCCGCGAGCAAGAATGTGTTTATAGATGAGAGCGTGAACGTTTTGCAAGTGTGTGTTAGACCATAACCCCACAACACTGACTCCCACCACTTCTCCTTTCCACCACTGCCAGCGTGCAAATTATGACGTATTAATCGACACTCTGCTTTCCAGCGCTCTAGCAGACATTGGACCTTTAAGCACAACATTCCTCTCTCAATATTTAGCTTCAAGGGTTTGTGGAGCGGTTATACGCACGGCTCATAGTAAACACTCGCACATCTCGGTGGGACTCACACACAACATATCATTCGTGGAACTAGTTAAGCGATTCATTTCTTTGTTTTTACGTTTGTGTTGTTTTTTTTTTGTTTTGTTTGCATACGTGTTTTAGCGCATTAATTTGCATACGCTCATTAATTCAGCGGATCGACACAGAGACGAACCCAGACCAAAAAGACGCCTCGCTCAGGCGGAGCGACGTCACAAATCCCACTCAGTTCAACTTTGTCTTCCTCCATTACCAATACAGCTGGCCTGCAGAGCAGGCCGCAAGAGCAACCTGTGTTTTAAACGACCAATAACAGCTGATTTATTATTATTATTATTATTATTATTATTATTATTTTGGTATGTACTAGCTAATGCCTGTGTAACATGAACAGCTTCCAGAGTGTAACGTCAACAAACTGCACAGAACCCAGCTCTCCATTTGTATTGTATTTACTTAAAAATAGAGATAAAAGCAACCGTGTCCTGTTCCACATTGTGATTTCTTTTGCTTTACAGCCGTGTAGTTTCTACGTGTTCTTCATCATACTCCGCCCGCCGTCTCTCTCGCCAGCGCTCTCCTCGACACGAGTGGAAAATGCCTTCAGAAAGTTAGAATAAACGACATACGTCTTGAACAGATGATGTCACTTCCAAAGATTATATGCATGCTCTTCGTTTTTACCTTTCGACTTGAACCAAGTGCTTTTTGAAGTCATTTGTTAATGCGCCTATGTGTTTCCCTTTTCCTTTTTTTTTTTTTTCTTTTTCCTACTTGTCCTTTCTCTCTTCAACCGTCATGAAAAGTTTGGAGGGTGCGTCCAAAGCGCCCGTGTTGGTGTGAATGTTGTATGTATAGACGCTGTATATAAATGTTGTATAAAAACCTCTCAATGCTTAAAGGCACAAGGCACTTACCTTAGCTCAGACTTAATATATCAGCAGGAAAGGTGTTTCTCTTTTTTTTCTCCCCGGGGCGCGGGCTCCAGCTAAGGTGTCCTAAACAAAATAAAAGTACTAATAAAAAAGTAGCATTTCTGTTCATGTTTGAAATTTTCTGAATTTTCGACAGTGTAAATGTGGGAATTGGCTGAAAAACAAAATGACTAGCAAGCACACAAGACAAGACACGAAACAGCAAGAAGGATGTTCGTCGGGTAAACTACCGACTCGTTGGTAAGTAGTTTGCCTTCAATTGATTGTGGGTTGTTTAATCAGCGGTTAACATATAGCTAATGGTTTATACCGGGTTGCAAAAACACCTTAAGTCAAAATGTTAACGTAAAACAAAAAAACCCAAACAGATGTCTCTATTCAGAAAAAGGGGGTCTGACCAGACGTATATAAATAAACTAAACTGAAGTTCAGCTTTCGACATATTTCACCCCGATGGGAACTTCAAAGTTGTCCAACCTACAGTCCATCACATCCTTCCTTTGAACAAAGGGCTGGTTTCTTGCCATCTGGAAACAATAAGTCACCCTGCAGATGTGTCTTCACACCACAGAAGCTGTCATCCTGTCAGAGTAAATATGGGTCAGATCCTTCCTCCAAACCCGTACACAGTGGAGTCGGTCCTTCGTGTGCCGCACAATGAGACGTGAACAAAGCTGCAGTAATTGCTGGGGCTTTAAGTTTCCTTTTGCGTTGGTTTTAATTAAAAGAGCAGCTTGGAGCAAGAGTGAAAAGCTGCACCAGCGTTGCCACATACAGCACGATAATAAAATGTATTTCCATCCGTGTTTCAAAAGTTCCCAACACTCTGGGAACTCTCTGGACATTATATGCATCTAAATATAAGCATATACATACGGACAGCAAACACTTTCGGCGGGGAGCGTTCAGTCCGCCGTGCCTTTGGTTTGCGGGAGGAAACCAGCTTTCCCAGGGGAGATCACCCAGAGTGAGAGCAAACGTGCAGAGCAACACATTTGATTTAACACCTCAGCGCTTCAAGCCTTAACTTTCCACCAAATAAACAAATTTACCTCGACTTTACAGCACAAAATGAGTCAAATCAGAGGATGTAAAGTTAAAGTTACGCTGTCATAGATCAGCTCTCTGAAATCTGAAAACATATATGTTTGCACAAGAAACCATTTCATGCTCCGCTGCAGATTTATTATCCTCCAGCCACTTAAGATACTTTAGTATGAATATTTACACTAAGCACAAATAAATTTGGTCCATATGACATTTACTAGTTGTGATTTGAAGTTAAAAAAAAAGCACATTTTTAAGACCAATGTGTCGTATAGACGATTTAGTGCCTCGTAGTGCCATTTTTCTTAGACATCTAAATGTGGTTCGCAGTGCAGCCATAGCACAAAACCACAATTTTTATTTCTTATTCAATTACTTCTCTTTTTTGGCTTACCACAAAAGTACGAATATAGGATATGTTTTCATGCAGTAAATTGTTCTGTCCTGTAATCGTGGGGGGCGGGGGAGATTTATGTTCTCAAATTGATATGATAAAAAATAGATTTTTTATTTTTTTTGGTCCAAGTTTATGTTAAAATCGTTCTTGTTTAGAGTTATTTCTCGTAATTATAGAATCTATATATATATATATATATATATATATATATATATATATATATATATATATATATAACATATATATACCCCGTGTGTGTTTTTGTATATATATATA